CCTCCCCCTGCCCTACCCGAACCCCCGTGGCGTCTAGGACCGCCCGCGAGCGCGCGCGGCCTCTGCGGATCAAACCTGCGTTGGCTATCGGAAGGCCCAATTGAATTCAAATTGCCCATTAGTAGTTATCATCGCTTTCGTGGAGGAGGCGAGGCGGGGGCGTGGAGGAGGGTGCGCACGACGGGGAGCTCCCCGCCGCGAGCACCCAATGAGGTTAGGCCATTTCCACGACGGCGACCTCCAGGAGCAGGAGCCGCGCAGGGCCACGACGAGGAGGCAGCACGCGGCGCGACAATGACCAAGTTGCCATGGCAGCCCCGGTCCGGGCTGGGTGTGCGTCGCGTGTCCAGGACGCGGCCCTTCTTGGCGAGCGCGGCGGCCGTCAGGTCAGCCCCAGCATGGCGGCCGCGCGCCCCAACCGGCCCTGAAGGAGCCGCGCGCCGAAGCAGGTGATGCGGAAGGTCAAGTTGTTCCTGAGACGACTGCTCCCCGCTGCAGACCAGGATGGCGTCGATGACGACCTCGTTCCTGGTGGTCATGTTGCTGGTCGCACTGCAGTCGGCAGGCACTCTCTTGGCCAGGTACGTCCCGGCTTCGACATGCGTTATCGGCTCCTGGGCGTTAAGCGTATGAAAAAGTCAGTTTTCTGAATCAACCCAGTGACCGCGCCCCGCTTGGTCCAGAATGCCCACGCTCCCTCTCGACGAGCGTCGTCGGCGAGCGCCGGGCGTGGCCCTCGGACGTCTCGTCATGGCTCCGGCGGCGTCCTGGAAGGCGCGGAGTCCACCGGGGGCAGGCGGCCGACCGCCGACGCGGGCATGGCAGCGACACCGTCACGCCACCGGCGGTCCTCCACCGTGTGCGAGGTCACGTACCTCAAGAAGCTGGACGCCACACAGGCCGCGTGCCTGCACCAGAGGTTCGAGCTCCCGGTCCAGCCGCCCGTGCGGCCTGCATGGGGGCGCGCGTGCAGCTCGCCGACGGAGGGGTCGGCGGCGCGGCCGACTACGGCGTCGAGGCCGTCGCGAAGCAGGCCGCCCGTCGAGAAGTGCGACTTCAGCCAGATGGTGCAGGAGCGACCCGCGGGCGGAGCTGTCCCTCGTGAGCCACCCGTCACCGTCAAGGCCCCCAAGCTCGATGCGGAGTCCCAGGTCAGGGTTGTCGCCCCGCTCCGCAAGACGATCGCGAGCCTACGGAAAACGTCGACGCCGTCAGTGGAGCAAGGCGGCGGGTCTGGTCAACCGGCCGCCGAGGAGTTCGACGGGAAGCACTTGCATCCGCTGTTTGCCCTCTTGAACCACAGCATGCAGACCCAGACGAGCTTCGAGCTCGACCGCGCGGCGTTGGGTCTCGACGTGGACCTTGAATCGGGAGTCCTAGGGAGCCTAGCATCTGAAGCTCCACAACTCAGGCCGTCTTGCTCCTCCATTAGGACGACGGCCAGATCCAGGGCCGCCATGTCTGTCTCCAGGACCGCGTCCTCGGCCAGCCCCAGGGCATCCAGGGTGGACCTACCCTCGACCTTCACAAGCAGGGCCAGGGTGGGTGGCTCACTCGCAAAGTCTGCGTCACTCATGTCCGAAGAGCCAAGCGAAGCCAAGCAGCTCAGCACGTCGTGGCCAGAGGTGAAATCGCATCGCCACCGCGACGGAGCCACCAAGACTAACTCTGGGACCAACACACTGCCCATCCCCACGGCCGAGCGCTGCGTCAGCACTGTGGACAACGTGGCCGCCGTCAAAGTGCACGCGTCGACGTGCCCTGGGAGGTGCACGCCCAGTGGGGTCCCCGCCATTGTAGTCGAGGACGGCGTCCTGGGCGGCCAGAGAGGAGTCGTCGTCTCCCCGGTGCCGTCCGAGGCCGAGGCCGGTGGGGCGACGCCCACCGCCGAGCACCACAACTTCCTCACCGTGTTGGCCGCTGGCAGCCCACTCGGCGTCAACGTGATGCCCTGCGTGTCGTGGTCGCACGTGCCTGACGATCTCTCCATGACAGACTCCCTCGGCTTCCCGGTCCCGGACCTCAAGTTGCAGGTCATCCCATACCCCTGCCCATGCCACCCGCTCGACGCGCTAATCAAGAGCAAGGTTGCCGAGAAACAGGTTTCCTTCACCACCTCGAGGCCCATCGTTGTGGTGGACGAGGACTCGGAGGGCCCATCGGGCAGGACGGACAGCTCGCCCGACCGACTGCAGGGGCAGCCGCTCCGTTCAGATCAAAGCGCATCATCAGGTAAACGAGTGCTCATTCTCAAACCGGGTACATCTCAGATTGAGGCGTACATTAACAGTTGCCGTCCTCGTCAGGTTTGCCGGAGGTGGAGGCCGTGGAGGCCGCCGCACCTGCAGCAGTCCCACCGCCGCTGACGCCACCCGAGGCCAGCACGCCGCCCTCCGCATCGGCCGCCCTGGGCCACCCGCCCCTCACGGACAAGCTGAGCATGCGCAGCCTCGCCGCCATCGGCGGCCAGGGCGTGTTCCAGGCCGTCAAGGAGAGCATCATGTACTCCACCATGGCGGCCATCCCCGTCACTAACGCGTTCGTCAACTTCCTCCCGTGCGCGATGGAGCGGAGCCTCGGCAACCAGCGCGTGGAGTACGACGCCAGCGAGTTCACGGCCGAGCCCCCCAGCCCCGAGGACGTCCCGGACAACCCCAAGCAGGACTCCGAGCGCGACTCGCCGTGCTCGGTGGACTCCTTGGAGAGGGTGAGATCCGTAGCTGTGCCCGCGCCCGCGGTGACGCCGGTGACCCAGCCGGAAGTGCCGGTGACGGGCGGCACCTCAGCCTTGCAGCTCGACTGCTACTCCCCCACCGAGTTCACCGCCAGGCAGAGCAGCACCCACGCCAAGATAGGAAGCATCATTTCGGAGATCTCGGCGGACTTGTGCTCGCTCGGCATCAGCAAGGCGTCCGCCCCGAGGCTGGCGGAAGTCTCCCGGAGCGCGACCGGAAGTGCCCAGTCCGCGGCCAGCCTCAAACTGGCAGCGGACGGCAGCAGGCTCATCCTGCGGGCCAGCCGGCGAGCCAGCGTCCGCAGCAAGGCCAGCAGCCCCATCGTCATCATCCCGGCGCTGCTGCCCGCCGCGGCCCCGGGGCCGGAACCGGAAGCGCCGCCGCACAACAGCCCTTCCGAGTCGGAGCAGGAGACGGAGGACGACCGCGAGTCCGACACGCGGCCGCCGTCGCAGCGGCGGAAGGACGGGCGCCCCGGGCCGCCGCTGATGACCCGCAGGCCGCCGACCCGGAGGTCGCGGGACGGGCGGCGCGGCGCGGCGTGGCGCGCGGCCAGGAGCCAGAGGGAGGCGTCGCCCAGAAGGGTCCCGGACATGCGCCTGTCGGGCCGCAAGGCGCACGTCGACAACCTGGGCGACAAGGTGGAGAGCCTGTGGGTGAGCCCGTGGACCAAGCAGACCTTCCCCAGCTCCAAGTCCATCATCCACGTGGTAGGGGAGGGCAGCCGGCAGCAGTTCAAGTGCGAGGACCCCATCGAGGCCTCCTGCCCGTCCGTCGCCGGGGACCTGGTGGAGGCCGCGGTGGTCGCCCGGCCGTTGATGGACAACTGTCTGGAGGCACCGGCGGCCAGCTCGTCCACCGTGGCCGTCCAGGACAAGCAGCCCGCGAAGAAGGCGTCCGCCGAGTCCCTGACCCTGCGCGGGCTGCCAGAGGGGCCGCGGCCGCCGCCCGCGGACACGAGCCGCACCGGCCTACAGGAGAAGGCGGACGCGGTGGCCACGGCGGGCCGCGCGCTCATCGGCAGGGTGATGGCGCGGGCGGCCGCGACGCGCACGAGGCCGCCGTTCGCGCTGCGGACGCGCAAGCAGCAGGCCGTGGCGGCCCCGCTCGAGCCCAACGTGGAGGCCTTCGAGTGCAAGCTGTGCAGCGACTACCTGTCGCCGCCGGTGCGCCAGTGCGCGGCGGGCCACGGCCTCTGCCCGTCGTGCCTGGCGGGCGCGGAGAGCTGCCCGCTGTGCGGCCGCTGCGTGGCGGCCTCGGCCACCGCGGACCAGCTCGTGCGCACCGTGCTCTTCCCCTGCAAGAACAGCGGCGTGGGCTGCAAGGAGCTGTACTGGATCGAGGACCGCGCGCGCCACGAGGCCAAGTGCCCGTTCCGGCCTCGGCCGTGCCCGTGCGCCGAGCGCAGCCAGGTCATGTGCCCCTGGTCCGGGCTGCGCTCCATGATCCGCGGCCACATGCGGCGCGCCCACGGCCACCACGGCGTCGTCTACCCGTACCGCGCCTTCTTCCCGCTCGAGGACTTCAACCGCGCCGCCTGGGTCGGCCGCACCTCGCACGTCGAGATCGTGTTCGTGGAGCACGAGATCTTCGAGCTGCACAAGGTGTTCGACGAGCGCAACGCGTGCCTGTGGGGCATGCTGCGCCACATCCTGGCCCGCGACGCCAACGCCCTCTTCAGCTACACCATCCGCTTCCAGCCCGCCAACATGCGGCCCACAGTCTCCTTCCGCAACGACGCCATGGCCGGAGCCGAGGACCTGCACAAGGCCCTGGCGCAGGGCAAGCGCTTCGCCATGCACCTGGACTGCTTCACCAAGCACCCCGTCGACCTCTTCACCGTCCAGCTCAAGGTGCAGCCGCGCGACCGTAACAAGTGGCCATGACGCCGAGTCCTTTAGACTGCCTCACAGTGTGACGCTGTTATTTTCATAAAATCGCTACCTGCGTGTAGCTTTGACGGCCAGTGGTCTGCTCGCCTGTGTTTTATCTCGTGTATTTGACAAGCAGACACATTTGTGTTCTGCGCAGAGGATTTAATGTACATAATTGTTTCGTTAAACGCGCTCGACTGTGACAAGACTGCTCTTGTGTTTATAGTAAACCGGTTTACAGTCCAGCGACTTCTCTGTTAATTGATTTGTAATGATAATAATAATAAAATGCACTCATTACTTATCAGGCCTTTCTCACGCATCAGTTTGGCGGAACAGAGCGTTTCATGCGGAAAGAGCGCGCCCGGCAGTGGCCGCTACACAAGCGATCTAAAACTGTTCGACAAAACGTCCAATCACAGCACAGAGCACACTTAAATTCAAAGGCATTGCTTTTTGTCAGCCCAGTTTGTTTTCTTTTACGAGGTCGTGCAAACAATACAGACTTATTTGCGAGGGACGCTATTCTTTTTCTTTTCTATTTTTTTTGTTTTGTCACCTGATGCA